AGCAAGAAGAGAAATTAGAAATGCCAACAAACATGTCGGTAGCTGACAAGAAGATCGCAGCCCAGTCGCTGGACAAGGAGGCACAGGCAAGCTGCTCAACCTCAACCACATCCTCGTATGAGACCGTGGGTGGCGTGCCGCAGCCAGGCGACACCCGCAGCGTACTCAGCCCAGAGTATCTCAGCGCCGATGATCTGCAGGCCCAGCTGCCCGACGACGAGGAAGGCGTACAGCCACAGCAGGCAGCTGCAGTTATCATTACGAATGCTTCTGTGGACATTGCCAACTGGGAGCGCAGTCCCAAGGCAGGCGCCAACAGTCGGATGCCGCCGCTGAGCGAACAGCTTGAGAGCGGCGCCAATGCGCCCAATCTAGATGCACTGCAGCAGCCAAAATCTAGCTGCGCCTCACCAGCCAGCTCCAATGGTGGTGTTTACAGCGTAAGCACTTGCGCCCTCACATAGTCACACCCCTTCCAACCGATAATTGCTATTGTTTATTGACAGAGTGAGCTGCTGGAACAGTTTGGCCTAAATCTGCATCGGATCGAGAAGGATGTGCAGCGTTGCGATCGAAATTATTGGTACTTTGCCAGCGAGAATCTGGACAAGCTACGCAATGTGATATCGACGTACGTGTGGGAGCACCTGGACGTGGGCTACATGCAGGGCATGTGCGATCTGGTCGCTCCCTTGCTGGTCATCTTCGATGATGAGTCGCTCAGCTACAGCTGCTTCTGCAAGCTCATGGAGCGCATGATCGAGAACTTTCCCAGCGGTGGTGCCATGGACATGCATTTCGCCAATATGCGGTATTTATCTGTCTATCTATGCTATCTTGAACGGATACTGACCTGATCTTTTCCCGCATCTCATCTCTTCCAGCTCGCTCATTCAAATACTCGACTCCGAGATGTACGACCTGATGGACTCGAATGGCGATTACACCCACTTCTACTTCTGTTACCGCTGGTTCCTCTTGGATTTTAAGCGTGAGCTCATCTATGACGATGTCTTTTCCACCTGGGAGATCATCTGGGCAGCCAAACATATTGCCTCCGGGCATTTTGTGCTCTTCCTGGCGCTGGCGCTGCTCGAAACCTATCGCGATATCATTTTGTCCAACAGCATGGACTTTACAGATGTCATCAAGTTCTTTAATGGTAGAGTTCACATAGTGTAGTAGCCATATATATTTATTTATATATTTTTTATATATATATTTCAGAAATGGCCGAGCGACATAATGCCCAAGCGGTGCTCCAGCTGGCGCGAAGTCTGGTCCTGCAGCTTCAGATGATTATTGAGAACAAGTAGATCGATTTATAATGAATATTAAGTAGCAACAATGCTTATATAGTAGTTATAGATGTTTAATCCTTGTTTTGCCAAAAGCCACAGAACTTCCCAAGTAGGCACAAAAGAATACCCTCACCCCAAATTAATGTGTACAATAAGTATGTGCTAAGATGTAATCCGAAACTTTGACTCTAATTGTAACTGTAACTGTGACTGTTATTATATACATTTTATGTAAATGTTTGTTAATGTTATACCCACATCTCCGAACAACCAAAAAATGGGGCCGAAAACATAAAAGACTATATAAAGTGAATCTGACAAACTGTATCAAAAAGAAAGCAGCATTTCAAACTTTATATCGTACAAAATAATATTAGTAACAGGCGTATTTCTTTTTTTTTTAACCTTAAACTATCACTAACATGAATATTTATTTAATATACAATACATGTAGTAAATTAGAGTGCAATTAAACTAAAAATATCAAGAGGTTATATAAAGCAAATATATACAAATACTGTACAGAATATGTATGTACAACCCTATATACTACAACATATATACGTATGTGTGTGTATGTGCGTGTGTGTGTGTGTGTCTGTATCTGTGTATACAAATGTATATGTCTACATGTAAAAAAGTAATCGAAAAGTATTTAAAATAAACATATGTATGTCTGTACCAATCTGAAATTTCCTTCTGCGAAAGGCGAAAATCAAAAACCCAAACAGTTAATAATAAGTCCAAATACTGTTACAAGTACTATATGTATACCGTTCTGGAATTCAAATCAGGGAATGATACCGTAGACCTAACCTTGCTGATCTGAACTTTTCTCAAAATCCAATTCGAAACTGTATCCGATTTACCAAAAACATATTACAATTGTTGACCAATCCCATTGTTTTTGCGGTATCGTTTCGTTTTGGTTTTTTGGCTTTATTTATTTACCTTTTCCGCGCCCATATATATACATACCGAAATTTGTACAATATATATTACATATGTATGTATTTCGAAACTATCTTTGCTATAATTATAAATATTAAACTGAAAGTCATCCTGTGCATTTTCTTTATATGCAGTTGGGGTCTGGTTCGAACATTGGGTACCTTTTTATTTTAGTTAGTTAGGTTAAGAGCAGGTGAATGAAAATGAAACAAAGTGAGAGGGAGGGAGAACCAAAGAGACAGAAAGAAAGAGAGTGCAAGCGACTTATTTATATAAAGATATTAAATTGAAAACAGAGATTAGGTTTATTAGATTGCCGACACAACTATTTAAATTAGCACTTATCTGACTTTATGAGAATCGCGTAGTAGGGCGACATTTACAAAAACGTTACATTTTTAATTTGCAGCACAGCGGGAAGTAAGCTTTGTATGCGTTTGGAAGAATATACAAACATGCAAACAGAAACACACACATTCATGCACACGTACATATACAGACACACACACAGACATGCAACTTGCATTCATCCATATACACACACATACATACGTACATACACACCAAAATGTTAAAAAGACTGACAACGCATTAAAGCCTCCAGGGCTTACCTGAAATTATGAGAATCGCGTAGTAAGGCGGCATTTGCAAAGACGATTTTTCTTTAATTTGCTGCGCAGCGGTAAGTTACCATGGCCACTTATGCCCGATTGCTGACAAAATTCGTGATTAAAATAAATGCGCTTGAGGGGAGGCCTCCAAGAGCTGATCGACTAATTAACAAATATTTTAGGATTTAGGATTAGGATAAATGCAACAAATCTTGGTATTGAGAACATGACAAAAATCTTTGCGAATTTAACGTCGGGCCTATCGTTTACAACTAACAAATATTTTAATAGAGTTTCTATATATTCTTCTGTACACATTATAAAAATACGTATCTATCAATCGATTGATAGATTATGTGTTTACAAATGGTCTATCATTTGGAACAGCCACGTTTGATTTACTTAAGTTGCCGTTCACAGATACTTGACACCAAATAGTTAAGCAAACCAAATGTGGGCTGTAGGAAATTGCTTGACTAGAACATACCCTGTAGTCAGTTCCGAATAGCGCTAGCATACATTTGATCTTAACTTATCCAGCGTTAATCTCTTGATATTTGTTGAAAAAATGTAGGTTGGAAATCGTAACTTCTTGATATTTAAAGCATTGGAAAGTTATCGATATTATAGTTATTACAGATCACGAGCACGAATGGCCTTTAGATACGTCCAAATGTATGTAAATTATGGGCTCAAAGATGGGTCCTTCTGTCTGTTATTAAATAGTATTAAACTATTTGCTTTTGGCCATAAATCGTAAAAGTTAATCTTTTTAATCAGCTTAGGAATATATATACTATATACTAATCCATCAGTTGATCCAGCGCCAAGCAATAATAAATTTCGAATCTGAGCACATACATCCTCATATGCTGCTCATATAATCGAATGCAACTACTTCTAATACGATAAGCAGAAGGTTTATATTTAGTCATAATACAAACATACGTAAGCCAGCACGGGTTGCCAACGCCCAAGCCGTAACTGTTTTTCGCGTTATCTTGCCTGGTAGCTCCCCATATACCCACTTATGTAGTTGTATACTATATTCTTTTGTTATTGTTTATTTGTCTCAGATTCGCATTTCGTATCAATGGATCGCCGGGCATCGTGTATAAAAGTGTGCAGCTGCAATCGATACAAAGAGTTTCCAGTTCTTAGCTCATTCATAACATGTCGTCGGACTTGGCCGGTTTACTAGGTCTCTGCAACAATGAGGATCCGCCAAATATTCCATTCAATAAAGGAAGTAGCGTTCAGAGTAAGTTATATCACTTGAAGATTATTCAAATTTGATTAGTTGCCGTGAACACATAAAAGATTACGTATATAACCAATCAGCTATGATAAAAAAATCCGTATGGCATGACTGCCTCTATCTTTCAAAACGTGGCCAAGGCACACTCTCAGATTGTGTGCTGGAAGTTTAATTCAGATATGATTTATCAATGAAATTCAGTTAAAGCACCTTGAAACAAAAAAAAATATATATATAATTATATCAACAAACATTTTCAATTATAAAGTTTTCTTCTCAAAGTTTCCAACTTATCGAAACCATTTCAAGAGTCTCTAGAAATCATCATATATTTCCTTTTTGACTAGCCACATACTATAATATACATATGTATGCAATAAATCCTTGAAAATTTCAGCTTTAAAGTTTTTAGTTATTTTCTCGAAGTTTTTTTTTTTTACAAATCCTAAATCGAAGAGTAAACCAATAGCCTGATTCCAGATATACCGAAAGCTCAAAACAAATTGAAAAAAAAACACAAACAATAAAAATCTTTGATTAGTACACAATTTTGCATAGCTTTGAGGCAAACTTACAAGATATTAAATCTTATTCGATTTGCAGTAGCGAGCGGGGGCGTAAAAAGCAAAGTTTAAAGCTTGAGCTAAGACCGTTATATGCCTACACATACACAGGCATAAGGCGAGCTTTAACAAAGTGCACAAGCCGTAAAATACTCTACACTCAGAGAGCAAGAGAGATTATTGGTAAATTCGCACAGAGCTTGCAACTACAAGCAAATTTTTTTTTTTTAAGTGCACATTCGCAAGCTTCGCGAACGCTCTCCGAGCGAAAGCTTTTGTGCTTTCGTTGAATGCGTGCTCGCGAGTGCTAAGCAGTTGTCAGATGTGCTCGTAGCTAACAGGTCGCTCTTGCTTTGCGTCTCGGTAGGTTGTTTGTTGTTGGATCTGCGATCAAAGGTGCGTAGCACGCAAGGTGATCTTTGAACCGGCTGTGTGTGGGGCGGTGGGCTCAGCTGATCAGCTGTTACTTGGAATTGTTGTTTATATAGCCAAATATATTTACAGTTGCAAAACGCAAGGTAACAAAGCTGGAAAGCAAGACGATGTCTTCTCCGCTGCGCTTCTATTACGATCTGATGTCGCAGCCGTCGCGGGCGCTGTTCATCATCTTCCGGCTGAGTGGCATGCAGTTTGAGGATTGCATCGTGGCGCTGCGTAATGGTGGGTGCTCGTTCATACTTATCTTTTAAATGGAATGAATTTCTTTTATAATGGGACTTTGCACATGGCAGGCGAGCATCTGACAGAAGAGTTCAAGCAGAATATCAATCGCTTCCAGCGTGTACCCTGCATCAATGACAACGGCTACAAGCTGGCGGAGAGCGTGGCCATTTTGCGTTACCTTAGCGCCAAGGGCAAGATACCGGAGCAGCTGTATCCCAAGTATTTTGTAGATCAGGCGCGCGTTGATGAGTTCCTCGAATGGCAGCATATAACGCTGCGCGTCACTTGCGCCCTGTACTTTCGCACCATCTGGCTAGAGCCGCTGCTGACGGGACGTACACCCACAGAGGCGAAGATTGAGACGCTGCGCATGCACATGGAGCGTAATCTGGACATTATTGAGGAGGTGTGGCTGGCCAAGAGTGAGTTCCTCACCGGACCAGCGCTCACCGTTGCTGACATATTCGCAGCCTGCGAAATTGAACAGACACGTAAGTCACTTGTCTAATCTTATATATTTGGATTGCTCACTTCCAATCCTCTCCATAGGCATGGCCGATTATGATGTGCGCATCAAGTATCCCAAGATTCGCGCCTGGCTGAAGCGCGTGCGGCACAGCTGCAATCCGCATTACGATGTCGCTCACTCGTTCGTGTACAAGATATCGGGCACGGGCCCACAAGCCAAGCTCTAAGGCAATCCATAAAGCAGACGATGTAATAGTTTCTGTAAATATCTGTGTACTTGCATTTTTATGTTAACACGTCAGTGATTAAGTATTTATAGATCTTAAATATATATTAAGCGTTCCGATTGGGTCTTATAAAGCATATATATAGAAAACATAAAGATCTAATGAAGCCGTCAATTTAAATTCCTTACTTCAAAAATGTTTGAAACCGGAAGATTGAAACCCAGTTACGAGCTGAATTTCAATATATTTACACTACAAACTGAGCTTTAATCAAAACTGTATTCCAAAATGTAGTCAACCTGAATCAAACAACATTCTTTAAAGAACAATTTGTTTCAAGCTTAACAATATTTGAAGAAGACCCAGAGCCGTTGCATTTACCTAACCCCATATTAGATAAATGTCAATTTTGGGTAGAAATCAAATATTGCCTGCGTTTTGCATAAAACAAGTTGCAAATTGTAAATTATATTTTATTATACAAATTTGGAATATAACAATATGTTTTTACAAGGTTTGTATCAAATCCTGGGTTTACGACTCGACCCTGAAGTAAGGGTGTGGATGGTGGGTGGGTGGTGGGTGGTGGTTGAACCATGAACCGAGCCAGCCATATTTTGTTTTTGCAGCCCTGGTATAAGCACAACATTAAGCGAATAAGAGGTTAGATATATATATATATATATATATATATATATATATATATATATAATCTTTCACTCAAATAATTGCAGATTAATTGTTATATCCCGATTTTAAGCTATATGAAAAGTTCATAAGTGATTAATTAGCTTTATAAGTACTCCTATGATGTTTTTTTTTTTATTGTGTCGTCATTGTTGCTTTTATAATTTCACATTTATTTAAAAAAAAAATACAATTTTAAAAAATAACTACCTAAAACTAATAAAAAATTTTAATAATATATAATATAATATATATAGCAACGTTACGCGCTTGGATTTCTAACATTTTGCAACAATTTTTTTCTTTCAGTTTTTGCGATAACAAAACATAATATATATAAATAAAAGTACGGTTACAAAAAAAATATATATGTAAATGTATATATATATATATATTTTTTTTTTTCAAATTGTATGTTGAAAAAAAATCAGAATTCAGAAATCAGAATCAAATCAAGTAAAATAAAAGATAAATGGTATATACAAAAAAAAAAAAAAAAAAAAAAAAAAAAAAAAAAAACTATACAATATGGATATATTTATGTAAATATGTAAATATTTAGTTATATTTCTAAATATATACACATATGTGCATGTATGTGTGCGTGTGTATATATAAAACTACATACAACTCTAGACTACATTCACTTAATTATTATATATGCATGTATATTTTGTTGCGTTGAATTCAACTTAAAATAATACAAAAAATATGTGTGTGTGTAAACTTGTGTATGTGTTTATATGTGTGTATGTGTGTGTGTGTGTGTGTGTGTGTGTGTGTGTGTGTGTGTGTGTGTGTGTGTGTGTGTGTGTGTGTGTGTGTGTGTGTGTGTATATTTTTATTATATTGGATACTTGTATGCGTTTTGACCTAATACCAAACGTCTTCTACGATAACATTTTAATATTCGACATACATTAAAATGTATACGTAATGCTCTATTCATACTAATTGCTGAATTCTTGAAATATATGTATGTGTATATAATTTTAGTAATTTGTTTGTTTGTCATAAGGATTATATGAAAGAAATGTTTAAATTGTTGCGTATTCTGCCTATGTGCACCCGGTTTTTTGTCGCCTGCCACTCACCAACGACTGCGTACTTCTGATGGCCAAACAGGCAGCTGCATTGAGCCCGGCTCAGTTAGGCCCACTGATGTTGGGCTTAACTAACGGCTAACATATGACGAAGTATGGCCGACTCTTAAACTAATGACACGTGAGCACCAAACGCATATATATGTACACACATAAATATATAGCGTACATATACTGGCTGCCAATTGGCAATTGAGCACCGATGCGGCCAGCTGGGCCCTCGGGCAGTGTTCCCTAAATCATGTCACTAACAATTTTTAAAGCAAAGCAATTAAGGCACCAAAAAGTGTTGCATCTACGCACTAGAAGCTACCCATAGGCATGGACAGGTACAGGTACAAACAATGAAAAAAACAAAAAACAACAAACTACATGCATACAGTCGAAATACGTTGCAGATGCATACAAAGCGACTGCCTGCCACAAGACGTTGCCAACTCTCTCTCTCTCACTCTCACTCTCTCTTTCACTTTCACTTTCTGTCTCTATCTCTTTTAAATTGTGTGTCTGCTCTAGGCAGGCGACATTGTTTGGATTACGTGTAAATATATGCAAATATATATATATATGCATATAGTTTTGTATGTATGTATGTACTATGTATTTTTATATATGGCTGTCAAATGTTGGCCATGTTAAGCTTAACATATCCGTGCATATACGCACATATGTATGAGTGTATAAATATGTTTGTATATGTGTGTGTATGTCTCTCTGTGGGTGTGTTGTGTGTGTCTGTGTATGATTATTTTACAAATATATGTATGTATGTATATGGTTAAGCATATTCCGTACTGTTTGTATACGTTTTACAAAATAGTTTTGTATGTATATAAATATATATATAAATATATATCTTTCTCTGTAAGACGCGCTGTCCCTATCGTTACTTTTGCTTTTCCATTGTTCCCTCGATGTGTATGTGTGTGTGTATGTGTGTCGCTAGGTTTGTTTTGGATGGGTTGTGTGTGTCTGTTTTTTTTATTTGTGTGTGCTTCAGCCACAATTTCCTTTAAAATACTTTTGCATGTGTTTTATATGCTTCGCTTTTAATACTAATGTTTTCCAATATATGCTCTCACACTTTCGTGCTGCCTCCTTCTCTCGTTCTCTCGTTCTCTCGCTCTCTCGCTCCCTCTCTCTGTTCCTTTCTGAGCTTTTCATTTCATTTTAGCTGGAAGCGAGACACAAATTAGCTTGAAATTAGCTCGAAATTTAACTCATTTGGAGACGCACCTGCTCCGCTTCTGCACATCTAGAAACGCGCCCTGTTCATGTTCTTGATGCGTATGCCCACTTCCAAGACTTGGTCACCGCCGGCAGCGCCGCCGCCACTGCTGCTGTGGCTTGAGGAACTGCTGCTGCTGCTGTTGCTGCCGCCGACACCGCCGCCGCCGCCGCTGGCAGAGCTGTTGCCATTGCTGCCATCGCTTAGCGGCGAATTGTTGTTGTTGTTGTTATTGTTGCCCGAACTGGAACCGGAGACGACAACAGGCAACGCAACATTGGCCTCGGCATTGACACCGCTCACACTGGCACTTGCACTGGCTGCAGTTGCGCCCAGTCTACGCAACACTGTGGTGGTTGTTGTCGTTGTCGTTGTTGTCTCAGCAGCTGCACCAGCATTGCTCCCGCCGGCGGCGCTGCCCAATTTCAAGAGCTGCTGCTTATGATGCCGATTATGATGGTTGTAGTTGATGGCGGTCAGATCATGACTGGCGGTGCCATTGCCACCGCCAGCGCCGCCGCCACCTCCACCAGCGTTATTGGCGGCATAGTCGTGCGGGCCGCCCACCGTGTGCCGGCGCTTGATTGAGCGATTCTGTTTGTTTTGTATCTGCCGCTTTTTGGTCAGATTCATGTCAGTCTTTTCGTCCTTGGTGAGCGCGGCAGCGGCATGTGCCCAAGCTAATGACGACGATGTCGGGGAGCAACAGGTGGCGGCGGCAGCGGCAGCGGCAGCAGCAGCTGCCGAATTGCTTGAATTGCTGCTGCTCATGTGTCGCGTCGAGTAGTTGCGACAGTTGAAGCTGGCGCTGCGAAAGAGCCGATGATCGCGCCGCTTTTTATTGTAGCGTTCAAGAAAAAACGATGGCGAGGGTGTGGCCATGAGGAGCTTCTCCTTCGGATCACTGGTGGTGGAGCCCTCCGAGTCATCTTCGGAGCCGGCGCCCCCAATGCCCCGCTCGTAGGCCAGCGAGCTGCTGAACCTCAGATTCTTGCTTCCGTACGAGTTGCGCTGCATCGTGTTGGCCGTCTGGGAGCTGGGCGTGCCAGCCAGCGGCGTTGAGGCGCTGCTTGAGCCGGTGCCAGCGGTGGGCGTGGCAGCGCCACTGGCCGGCGCCGTTGCGCTGCCCTGGTGTATGGGCACCGTGGCCGAGTGCTGCAGCTTGTGCGCCGCCTTGAGCAAACTGGCCGGCAGCGGAGCCACCGTTGGCTTCATCAGCAACTGCAGCTGTTGCTGCTGCTTGTCCTCTTTGGCCTCGCCAATGCTATTGGTGGCCGTGCAGGAACGGCTCAATAGCAACGAGTGTGGTGCGTCCAGTGGGCAAAAGTTGTGGAACAGTCGCTCTGGCGACTCGTCCGCATAGGGAATGTTCTCGGAGTGCAAGTGCAACGGCTGACCAAGTGTGTGCCGGCGATTTTTGGGAAACTCGGGCGAACCGTTCTCATCGTTCGATTCGGAGCCGCTGCGCAAATTCCGCAGCTTGCTGTCCAGCGTGTCCGTGATGGTCGTCAGCGACATGGAGCCTGCCCATTGACAGTGGGTAATTAGTGGGTCTTACAGGGTATTTCAAGTGCTTGCACTTACCCGTATCGCTTAGACGGCTGCTCGAATCATCATCGGTGAGCAGTATGGAAATGTCAACGCTGCTCCGCTGCTGCTCATGCTTGCCAGCGCTGCCAGCTGAGTCAACGCTGGCCGAGTCCTTCTCATCCAGGCTGGCCTTGCGTGCCTGGGCGCTCCGCGAACTAGAGCTGGAGAGGAAGCCACCAGTGCCGCGCTTTTTGGTGCTTGCCGCGGCCGCCTTAGCTGTGCTCGTCGAGGAGGATGTCGTAAAGGAAGATGAGCCGCCGCCGCCGCTAATGGCCGAGCTGAGCAGCTTGCTGGTGGTGCTGGTCTTGCTGCTATGCAGCGTCGAGCTGCTGCTGGTGCTGGTCGTGCTACTCGCTGACACCTTGGCGTAGTCCAGCGACTGAAAGTGAACAGCGGGCAGGATTAGGCCAAAATCGCAAATGCTCTGCACAGACTTGCGCTGCATTCGTCTTTGGTTGGTGGTGCGGATGGTGGTTGTGGTATTGGTTGTATTGGTTGTTTTGGTGGTATTGGTGGTGTTGTCGGTAGTTGTGGTGCAGTGGGAATTGTGCTGGGCTTGACTACTGCCGCTTACCAGAACACTCTCGCCGGAGTACGTGTCCGAGCTGACGGCGCTGCGTTTACCATGGGTGCGTCTTCGCAACTGCGGAATGAAACGCGAGGAGCGCGTCTCCCGTTCCGTGATGCGCTCAATCTTGGACAAGTTGTGCAGCAGCATGCTCGTTTGGTCCTCCTGCGTCTGCTGCGGCTGGGCCGGACTCGGCGCGGCCGCGCCGCCGGTCAAATCCGCCAGATCCGGCAGACTGCCGCCCTCAAAGAAGAACTCGTACTGTAAACAGATTAAAGATAGCGATGGATAAAAGCGTCGACCGAATGCTGCTGTTGTGAACCCACCTGTGTGACGAGCAGCTCGACAATGCGACACTGATGCTTCATATCCTTTACGGCCGTTTCCAGCGTGTCGTTGGGTGTGCGTATTATAGATGGCCCAAAGATAATTGCCAGGTTCTTGGGTTCCATGCGATTCACCTCGCAGTTGTCGCTGACGCGGCACAGATGCCTGATCAGATGCTTCATTGTCTCGTACGGATGACGCGGCAGGGACTCGACAATGTCCTTGAGCAGCACAATGCGCTCCATGCCCGTCTTCTTGTCCGCCTCAATGAAATTAATGTAAAAACTGGCCGGCATCAGGGCATCCGGCAGGCTGCGTATAAATAGCTTAAGCAGGCTACTAACGACATTGACATCCTCCCATCGGACATCGGTGGCGCAGCTATCGAACGAAAATTCCTTCGTGTTGACCAGCTCGGACAGCTCCGATATGGCCGCCTTGTTGCCAGGTATGCGATAAATACCGACCACGCCCAGACCTTTGGTCTCCACAATATTGGTGCAGATCTCCACCAGATGCGGTACATAGGCGTTACTTTTGGACATGGGACATGCGCGCAATGGCTGACCAATGGAGCCGCCTGTTCTGCTGCCACAGCCCGAGGGTGAGGCCAAATCAGCATGGGCAACCCCGCCGCCACTGCCACCTCCACGTCGAAATAGTAAATCTTTCCAGTTCTTTGACTTGGGCGAGCCGAGATCTTTTTCGGGCACATTCTTGTGGGAGGAGGGCTTGCGTAGCTTCATCACGGGCGATATCGCATCATTGGTGGTGGCAGCTGCAGCTATGGAAGCCACAGCGGAACCCTCCACCAAGGCACCGCCCGAATGCGAACTTACCGGCGAACTATCTGCGCCTGCGACATCATCCAGGTAGCTGGAGGTGGCGGCTGTTTTTTGTGGCTCCGCCAGCTGCTTGCCTGCAGGCTGCTCCTGGAAAAAAAAAATGGGGGCTTGAAGGATTGGCCAATTTGGGCTTTCGACTACCACTTACAACGTCATCATAGTTCAAGCTATCCTTCCACTGTAGCAGCCCAAAGAGGCGCTTCATCTCGTTGCTGCTCTTGGTCTTGAATAGAATTTCGGTGTAGGGACCGCAGGACGGAGCCGATGATGCCGGCGTTTGCGGCTCGGCGGCGCTGCTGCTGCCCGACGAGGTCAGCTTATCGTGCGCATCATCCAAATTGAGCTCGTTGCCCAATGTAGCCAAATGGGCAACGCTGGCGCTCGGCTTCGACTGCATGCGTATCAAGTACTTCTTTTTGTCCAGCGACTCGTCGAAGAATTTAAAATTTCTAATATCAAGCTCTATCACCTGCCAAATGGAATATATATTCAATTGGTATTTTTCTAGCAAGGAATAGACGCAATTCAAGTTTAGCTGCGTGAATGATTGGGCAATGAGTATATTCTTGGATACTTGGCTTGGATACCGGGGATCGCTCAGCTTTCCACTACGCCTTAGGAAATTCCGCTGTATCGGAGCAATAGATACCGAAAGTTTGGCGTAGAGGTAGCCCTACCCCCATCCACCCGGCTATCTTTGGCATGCCGGCGATTGAATACCTTACGTTTTAGTTGGAAAGCATCCAATAAGCTTTATTGCCTCTAGCTGCAAATTCCCGGAAGTCGCAGCCAAGGCCAAGGTGGAAAACGATCCTTGACGAAATGTGCAGCGCTTCGACAGCGCCAATTTTTGGTTGGTTTTGTTGGAATCGCAAGTCGAAGCAGCAGCAAGATATTTGCTTCGTGCATTGTTATGTGCGTTGCCCCCTCTCCCCCTCCACACACACACACACACAAGCGAGAAGCAAACTTCGACGGCCCGCGCGACTGAAGTCAGTGTTGCCAATGCAGCTATTTTTTTAGCTGACTTTGGCTATTTTTAGAGGTCTTCAATTTCTAGCTTTCTAGCTGTCCGAACTTCTGGCTATTTATTCATATTATTATTATTATTTCTATTATTAATATTAATATTGATATTATTATTTTAATCAGATTATTATTGTTTTTGTATTTATTTTCTTTCCTTTTCACATTCTTTGTTTTTTTATTATTCATAGCCCCATTTTGCACCCAATACAAGTCAACTTTAAATGCAAAATCGGATGAGTTGTTCGTTTTTTTTTGTAGAGAAGTTACTTTAGCTGTGTTTTTTAGCCACTTTTTGTATAGTTCAACTGTTTTCAGTTATTTTTAAGATCCGATTTAGCTATTGTTTGCAACAGTCGAAGCAGAAATATTCAAACACTAATCGAAAACCATATGATAATATAAAGTAGACCGATTTGATACATCCAGGGCAAATATGTTATGAGAATAATTAAAAGCTCAAAATATTTGGAAAAACAGAATCCATACGAAAACTATTTATTTTTTATCGGGCGATTTTTCCGACAGGGGTAAATGATATAGTAGTCCGATATTGGTAAAAATTAAAAGTAATTGAAAAATAATAACAACTAATGTTAATCGATCGTTTTTATGTCAGCTACTCTATGATATTGTGGACCTAAGCTGCTGACTCTATTTCCTGTTGGTGGCTTAAAAACCGAGTCTAATTTGCAAAGAAACAGACAAACCACTTTATGCTTCCAAGAAGTCGCATTCGATGTGTAAGACATTCCTCTTTAAGGAGAGGAGGAATCGATTTTAGATAAGGAATCAAATATCTTGTAATAAATAAGGAAATATCAAAACATGTTCCTCTACGATGTCGGGCAGTCCCAAAAAAGTCCTGTTTTTATCGGGTACTAAAGACGTAGTGCAAGAAGCTCTTAAAATTAAATTGGACACGACAGTAATTGCTACTTGAAAGGGCGGCACTTACATTATGCTCCGACTTGGCATGGCGTCCAGAGTAGATGCGTAGGAAATCTCCTTTGATTTCCAATTTAACCTGACGCCACGAACGATACTCGGACATGCGCTATGGAACAGAATTGTGTGGCTTAATTAAGAATCATTAATTTGGGCAGTTGACTGCTTACCTTGCCATTGATGCACGAGGATTTGATCTCAATCTCCGTCTCAAAGGCCTCCAGCTCGTTGGGCACATACTTGCCATTAAGCTCCGCATCAATGTGGATGCTAGGTGCAAATGGTGTCAGTTAGAATATGATGTGGATTTTGGCTTGTTTGTTATTCACCTGCTACGCATATCGCTGTTGATGGAGGCACGCCGGTTGCCATGATGTGCGGACAAACGCACATCCTCCAGGCCGTTGGGCGTTTCGATAAACTCGTGACCACCGCCGGTGCCAGCGATTACATCGTACGTGGGGTCTGGATGCTCCTCCACCAGTGCTTTGGTCTTGTGTGGCTCGACAGCGGCCGCCGCAGCAGCCGCAGCGGCTGCGGCCGCAACGACAGAAGCTGCGGCAGTTGTACTGGCTGCAGCTCCATCCGCCGGTGGCTCTGCATGATACTCCGTCTCATTGTTGGTGGCACGCAAGTACGAGATGCGTCGCACCGGCTTACCCTCGTCAAAGGAGCTCGAGGAAAGCGGCTTATAGCGACGCACCACGTTGCCCGGCGTGGACGCGGCCTCCACAATGGCAGCGGCTGTAAAATGTGAATTCGATTTTCTTTAAAAAAGCACAAGAGAATCTAAAGCACGCGAAAAGGTATACTAACTAAGTAGCTCATTAGTGTATACTTTGCGTTATCTGGGAAAAAAAAACAAGTGTGCCCACTAGCAGATGCTCTGAGCTGAGTGCCAATTATTCAAGATTCCTTCTACACACATTTGCATACACAATAACACACACATGCACACGGACGGACGCGTGCTGGAAGCTGCACACGTAGTCTTTAGTAGTCTCGGAGTTAGATCGATTTACTTTATAAGCGTGGCAACAACTCCTGCCGATTGTTGCATGCAGGCACACAAAAACATTAGACCTTTGCACATTTTCAATGGACTCAGGGTATAAACAGATTTATTGGCGAATAAGAAGTATCCTAGAAACTTGCGAATGTTCAAGCGACTCACTCATACGTTATTCACTCATATGTTAATTGTGGCTATCACTTTAGGTTGAAAGAGATCACTGATCATCTCAGCAACTTAGCATCAAGAAGAGCCACTTACCGCTACTCTCAGCAATGTCCGCCAAAGTGGCTACCGTGTGCGAGGAACTGGCGGCCTGCTGGTGCTCCGGAACGTTGCTGAATTCTGAAATTGACCACAGAAAAGTGTTGTTGCATTCAGGATTAGGTGATTTGAGCAAGTGTTTGGGCTAGGATTGGATACTTACTGCTGGTCGGCACCGACTCAAAGGTTGCATTTGCAAGTGTTGCCTTATGTAACTCCATTCGGCTGGTTGACTGTCCGTCGACTGTGCTGCTACTGCTGGTGGCGGTGTTGCTTTGTTGATACTTGGATTGCATCTGATGCAACGGATGCTGCTGGAGTGACTCGTAAAGAACGCTCTGCTTCTTCGCCAACGCAACCGAGGCGCTGCTCGATTCGGAGGCGGCGCTTGTATTGATTGACAACGGCTTGAACGGATCAAAACCCTTCGACATATGAGAGACAAGTTTACTTTCAAATCTATTAGAGAGAATAAGAGGGATTAACAAAACAATCTCAGCCAATTAGGTCATGCGGCTTGGATCCACTTACACCTTGTTGGTAACACCCGTCTCCTGCAGCGTCTCAAAATAGTCTAGCTCCTTAGCGTACTTGCCATTATTGCTGCCCACGCCGACAGCCACCTGTCGCTGCTGCGGCGGCATTGCACCTATGGAACGCGGCGCCAGCTTGCTGCTTGCGTAGCTGTTGTACATGTCGTAGCCAAGAACAACCTGCTGCTGCTGCTGCTGCTGCTGATGGTGGAGGTGGTGTTGGTGGTGGTGCAGTAGTTGTTGTTGCTGTTGCTGCTGCTGTTGTTGTTGCTGTTTGTGCAGCACTTGGTGGCGCACGCGCTGTGCAACAGCTCCGCCTCCTGGTGGCGTGTGTGATGGGAAAAAGTGCTGCGCCGGTTGTTGTTGCTGTTGCTGATTTTGTGGCGATGACTGCGATGCGTTGCCGTTGGATGCGGAGGCGGATAGCACACCGGAGGGTAGCGGCGATTTGAGGAACTCCTCCTTCTGCTTGATTGACTCGCGCAGTCGTATCATCAGGTCGCTGTTCTCACCGCCGCTGCCACTGCCGCTGCCGTTGCTGCTGCCGACGCCACTTGCATTTACTGCGTACAATGCTTGGCTTATGGCCCCTACCGATTTGGTTTGGCGGCCGGTGGGCGTGGTTGGTTGTGTTGTGCTTGCTAATACTGTTAGATTTGGCGGTTGATTGGCACTGCAAACAGAAAAGAACAACAAATCAATTACAATTATTATTATTATAGAGGCACAAACACTAAAGACAAAGACAACCACATTATTGGCTACATAAGAAATCTGATCCTTGGGGGCTGCAGTTAGCTAAGGGGCTGCTATCATTGCGTAAGCGTTTAATTAGCTGCACTTCAAAGAATCCATTACTTGTGAATTATATTTATAGATTTAATCACCCACATTCGATTTATGTCACCGTTTTTTTCGGGAAATACTTAAATCGCCTGAGATATAAAAAAAGACGCCACCTGCTTCACTCGGCTCGCGATATATAAATGATTTGAATCGCTTATCTATAATCAAAATATCTTTGTCAATTCTGTTAATATGCCTAACCTAATAACATATTGATAGCCATCACAATCACACAATATCTATACATCGATGTCTCTATATATATACAACTTATTTATTAGAGCTAGGATGAACTGTATGTAAATACTCACAAAGAAGTGGTTTATGGCTAATTCCCCCGCTAGTGTGGAAAGTGAGTGGAAAAAGGTTGAATGCAACTTTTTTGCTCAACATACGATCGGTCTCAAACTCACCAATTTTAAGCTCATTTGAGACGTGAAGTTCAAGGTGAAACGGGTGGAAAAAAAACATGCCATGCCAGACCATAGGGCAACAAGCTAGGTTTTCCTTTTAAAGTACCTCATTTTGTTACCAGCTTCTTCTATAGTCTGTTCACGTAGGTAATAGAACATTAAGCAGTTGTATCATTAGAAGTTAACATTTTGTTTTCTTAATTTATTACATCAATTGGCATACACATCTGGATACTACGGGCCAAGTTATCTGAAGATGTTGAAATATTAACTCAATATGTATACATGTGTGTGTGCGTAAGGTAACAACACCTGATGGCCATACGAAATAAAGTCGCTGGAGCTGAGGGATTTTGGCGCGTGCCGTTAGCGTTAAAGTCGACGTCAAAGGTAACGCGAACGTCAACGTCAATGTTTGCTTCTGCTGCGGCATGTGGACTAGGTCCGCTTGGACGTTGTCAGCTGTTTGGATACGCTGGTCACGACAAAGACGACGACGACATCGCCGTTGCCAAATACGAGTAAGCTGCGCAATTTGCGTAAACAGCGAGGGCGGCACGCCCCACGCTGCCCCACTCCACAGCCCGCAAGGCCCGCCGCCACCCAGCCACTGATTGCGATGACTGTTTGGATTGTGAATGTGTTATTTATTGTTGTTTGTTTATTAACGAATGTATTTGTTTAAGAATTTTGTGCTGCCGTGCGCGAGCATTCAGACTGCAACGGATCAGATAGAGATCTTTCAGTCGTCGCCTCGGACCACAGGTGCGCTAGGCCATGTCCAATAATAGCAGCAACATCAAAAAGTTAGGCTGCTCTAGTCGGGAGTGCACGACGAGTAGATACCCTGTACTTCTTTTCCCCTTAGCCATGCCCCACAAATGTGTTCATAAGTTCATGATTTACCTCGGATTTCACAGTCCGATCTTTATGAGTGTGCATATACTAAAAACTGCACCTTTAAAGAAGTGGAAGGTGACCCAAAAAGGGAAATACTTTTGATTTATATATACCTTAAGAGAACCCACGCACGGAGTTTGGTTTGAAAATCTCTTCAATTGATTCTTATCGAGGAAATAATAGCTATAGGAGTAGGTTATTAATATTTATAATTAAAAGCCCCCAGTAGCCTTTTTTGTAGTTATCTAGATCAACTCAGATCGTCGTCCTGATCAAGTAATTATTTGCTTTGAGGGGTCGAGGTGCCAGCTTATGCCCCTTTTGCTCACTCCCAATAACCATTGAGGGCATAACAATAATAACAACAACTAGGCAACAGTTGTCTGCAAAATGCGAACTGAAAAGTTTCAGATGCCGCAGGGGCTGGCAGCCGGGTTGAGAACGAAGCAAAGCACATTATGTTCCTAGGTTTGGGGCAGCACGAGCGTTAATGCATGACAAGAATGAACTCGACGCTCGTTTTAACAATGCAGCCCGTCCGCCCGGCAGTGGCAGCCAGGCAGCTGGGCAGCTGGGCTGGCGGGCAGGCAGCTTCTGGGCTGTCAGGTAGTCTAATGGCCATGACCGTGACATGACCAACTGCACACGTGGCAGTGTTGGGGCTTAATGCAATTGCAGTCTTGCGCGTGTGTGCATGTGTCTCTGTGTGTGGGTGTGTTCCATTTGCAGTTGCAACCACAGCAACCTGAACGCACTCAACACTTGATTGAATTAGTTGGAAGCAGCAGCAGAAGCATCGCTGCTGTCGAGGTCTTTGAAATAACTCAATTTGTTGTGACAGGATGCGCAGGATAACCGAGCACTTCCTGTCTGCCCGCTGGCAATAACAACAACAACAACAACAACAACAGCAACAGCAACAGCAACAGCAACAAAGAGTCTGATGCGAGAGTGGCCAGCGATACCAATTGATTTAGCTCATCGAACTTTTCCTGAAATAGTAGCTGTAACAGCTCTTTCACAGCTCCTGACCTTGGCCATTGGCTAAACCTTCAGAAAATTCAATTAATATCTTCCCGCCGGCCGCCGCAAAGGCCAACAACAGTTCAGGTTTACTGCCGTTAAGTGCCTTTTAATGAAAAGTTCCTGGTTGCGTACAAATTGGTGTGAGAATAAATTGATTTATGGCCGCCGGACGTCGGCAGGAATTAGATACTTTCGCTATGCCAACATTGCAGAGGGTTTGCATAGCTGCTCTGAGCTAAAAGGTAAATAAAAATACTTTCAGATACACCCAGAATCGGTTTCAATAACAAGAAACTACACTTAAGCTGAATTGTTTGAGTTAACAAGCAGGATATCGGACACAAGGTTGCCCATTTACAGAGAAGCTTTCAATCAAACGTTCTACTTTTTGTATAAGAACAAGAAGTACCAAGCGGCAGTAATATTTATCGCAATCAATGTTATTTTTGGAATATCTGAATAATACTAATAATATTTCACACTCAAAAACTAAAAGTATCTCATATATATCGGATGGGACACAGTTATCTCTTCCAACCAAATTCAAACCAATTTCGCTTCCGCAAGGGATTGAAAGCTAATAAAAAAAAATATATATAAAATAAGCTAAAACAAGTAAGAGGTTCTAGTCGGGAGCTTCCGACTAGGGGATACCCTAAACCCTCTTCTTCCAACATCAAATGCATATATATATTCTATTTTATTATTATTTACCAAAATTGCTCAAAAAACAGGATATCGATATCGATTTTTATCGATTGTTTGGAACCGGAGCAAGTTATCGATTATCGAAAACAAACTCGATCTGCGCGGGAACTAGGAGCATCTACATCTAAAATTTCAAGTCTCTAGCTCTTATAGGTTCTGAAATCCTTGCGTTCATACATACGGACAGACGGACAGACAGACAGACAGACAGACGGACATAGCTAGATCGACTCGGCTATTGGTGCTGATCAAGAATATATATACTTTATGGGGTCGGAGATGCTTCCTTCTGTCCTTTACACACATTTCGATTTTGCACATATACAATATACCCTTATACCCATTTTTAATGGGTTTAGGGTATAATAAGATGTAAGAGCAAGTTGTATCAGCACGAAACCCCAAAATAATGTGACTAAAACACGCCAAAGATTAAACACCCTTTTAGACATGGCTTAGAAAGGATTATTTGTGATATGTGATATGGTTGTGCAGATATATAAGGAGAATAGTTGAGCTCGTCATTGCTGAGGGTTTTTAAGATACTTTTAATGATGAGTTGAACTGATTTATGATTTATTTATTTAGATACTATCGCTTTGCAAAAGGGGTTTGCATAGCTATTCCGAGCCAAGTTTCTTCAAGATATTTAAAAACAGCAAAACAAACATTTCTCGTACTAAAACGAATGATCGACTATTTCTATAAGACCCTAGCTAACGATATCTGATTAGGATAATATTTCGCCTATATGTAAGGACCAAGCTTCAAGACTGCAGCTTAGTCTGACCAAGTTTGATACAGTTTGTATTAGGCCGATTCTGTTTGCATTAACAGACTCGACTCGATCAAGTATATATGTTTATAGCTAATGGGATTACACTTGCAATGATAAAACTCGAATACCCTATACAAGGCAGATGACAAGTTGCTGAATGTGAGCTCAAATCAGTTTCCATGACCATGAAAATGAGCAGGAGCAATAGAGACGGTTGATTGCAAATATGCAAACGCTGCTCCGTTTCGAGCTATGTACTTAGTACATAGAAGTAGATATGGCATGCTCTAGTATATACTAGTATCTAATATCTAAGTATTGTTATCTTTGCATAAGCTTCGTGTACATGGGTACAAAAATAAATACATACATAGATCCATTAACACAAGTGATTCGACACGCCGCGCGAATCGCGACTCTCTATTCTGCTGGTTTCTTGCAGTTGTTGTTGTCGTTGTTGCTGTTGTTGTTGTTGCCGTTGTTGTTGTTTTTGTTGCTGCTTATCAGTAAAGAGTCAGGCACAGAAATGAGCTGTATCTATCAGGCATAGATATACACATGCACACATTACAAAACTGTGCATGTGTGTGTGCGTGTGTGGAATTTCGCGCTTTATTGTCTGCTTGTTGTGCATGCACTAACGGTTCATTGTTGTTATTGTTGTTGTTGTCGACTATTGTCTGATTTGCGTATTGCCAACTCTTTTGCCTTTTTGCAATTAACAAGTCATAAATAAAAATGTTGACATATTTGATAAGCCACAAAACTACAGGCCGAAACCTGTCAACAAAAACAGTTCACAGTATGGCCCGCCCCCAAATGGTTAACAGTGCCTGAGCACCCGTTCCACCCGCGTCTCCCCCCTTTCTAACATATGCCGTTCTTTCGCACTCTCTCTTGCGCCCACTCTTTCGTCTCCCGCTGCCCCCCCTTCGCTCTATACCTTTGCTCGGCGCAATTCGCATTGCATTTATTG